CTTCCCGCCGCCCCCGCCGCCGCCCCCTCCGCTTCCCCCTTCGGCAGAGAGTCAGGCGGGCTTCCCACCACCCGCGGGGTCTTTCCTGCCACCTCCACCTCCTCCGGATGAAGCTCTTTTCAACGTTCAGGTAAGAAGGTTTGGTTCTGGGATCTGCTCAAGAATCTGTTTTGATTCGTGCAGATGATAAGATGAGTCAATAATAAAATGATATCAGGCCTTCTTCTTAGGGCCGGTGGAAGTCTCTGATCCAGGGTTTCAACTTCCCATGCCGGCTGGGGAATTCCGGGAGTTGTCAGAGACTTGTGGGGAACCATCTGGGGGAAAGTCCATCTAGAAGGCGTAATTTATGCGTAAAGAGATTTTATGGTACATGGATGGGCAACAGATTTCATTTGGACTGTAGAAAGAATTTCCAATTGGTAAAAGCTGATCCGCAGTGGAAGAGTCACCTTTAGAGGCAGGGGGCCTCCTTGGCTGGAGGTGCTTAAGCAGAGGTTGGGTGCCCGTCTGTCAAAGATGCCGTAGTGGTGCATTCCTGCTCTGGGAAGGGGGTTGGACTGGATGATCTCTGAGGTCCCATCCAACTCTGACATTCTATGATTCTATAAGACAAGACTGCTGGGAGCCGTGATAGCTATCTTCAAGTATCTGAAGGGCCATTACAGAGAAGACAGGGCAGAATTGTTCAGGGTTCTTGGACAGGATGGGAGAAGAAGAAAGGGGTCTAAAATACAAGTAGTCCTCACTTAACAACCATTTGTTTAGTGACCGTTTGAAGTTACAACAGTGTCAAACAAAGGGACTTAAAACCAGTCCTCGCACTTACAACCATCACAGCACCCCAGTGGTCATGTGATCGTGATCCGGGTGCTTGGCAACCAGCTCACGCTTATGACAATTGCATCGTCCCGAGGTCACATGATCACCATTTGTGACCTTCCCAGCTGTCTTCTAGCAAGCGAAATCAATGGGAAACTGCATGATTCGCTTAACAACCGTGTGATTCATTTAATGACTGCTGCAAAAAAGGTCATAAAATTGGACATGACTTGCTTAACAATCACCCTGCTTAGCAACCAATTTTACCCTATTGTGGTTGTTAAGCGAGGACTACCTATAGAAGGAAGAAGATTTCAGTTAGACCTCAGGAAGAAGGTAAGGTTCAGGGGAAGGCAACTCAGATGATACAGAAATCCCTGTGAGGAAATATTGTGACCTTGGGGACTTTTTAGTCTGGAAAGGAGGCGAACGAGAGGGATATGATGGAGGTGCACAGAATTATGCATGGTGTGGGTCCAGTACACAAGGAGAAGCTGTTTTCCCCTTACTAGAACAAGAAGTCACCCAATGACGTGAAATCCTGCAAGAATCAGGACAAACAAGAGGATTTTTTTTTTATGCAACATATAGTTCAACTTTGGAATTTGAGGTGTGGTGTTGGCTACCGGCTTGGCTGGATTCAAAAAAGGGTCAGAGGAATTCATGGAAGTCCTGGGGATCAATAGGTATTAGCCTTGACGGCAGTGGGGCCGTTCATTGGCACTGGGAGAACTGACGGCTCGACTCCAGGGGCCTGATCCAGCAGGCCTGGCTGATGTTCCTGTGCTATATTCTTACGCTCTAAAGGTAAGAGTTGCTTAATAACGGAAGAGACTTCCTCGGGAAGTCTGGGCTGGCTCTGTTCGGCGGAGGTGCTTCAACCAAAGCTGGCTGGCTGGCTGGCTCTCTGAGGCGGACGCTTTAATGGTAGATTCCTGCACTGGTGGGGGGTTGGACTAAATGACCTCCTGGGTGTCTTCCAACCCTTATATTTTGTGATCTCAACAAACCTAAGAACATCTGCACCAGAGCTAAGACCATTTTGTGGCAGGAAAGTAAACCTGAAAGATGTGATTGAAAAGGTGAGCCCTACCCTGTTCTTCATGCACTCCACTTTCTAAAAGTGGTGGTTGTGAAGTCCTGGCGATGCAAGAGGACTTGTGTTTATGTGCAGCTTTCTGCTCGGTTCAGATGAACCGTGTTGGCCAGTGGGAGGCAATGGAGAAGCAGATAAAGTGCAGAGGAAAAAGACCTCCTGGTACATGTTCTGTTTTCACCAGATTCTGCTTGGTTTTAAACTGTCAGAAGGAGACTTGAAACCCAGCCTGGCCCTGATGCTGCCTTCCTCCCCTTTTGGAGGCAGGAAACTGCTTGAAGGAAGTGCAAAGAGTAGAAAGCAGTAGATGCAAGCTTTAGACACGGTTAAATGTTGGAATCTGAAACCAAACTGTAAATCGTTCAGGAGACGGGAAGCAAGCAATACGTTTCCTCGTGAGTGAAGACATTTTGCAGTAGCTCCTGCCTTACATCAGCCATGGTTGACCACCTACTTAACCAGGTTCTGGAAGCTGCATTTGCACAACAAGCTAGGTTTGGTTGCATTAACCTAGTTTTTTTCCGAACAGTATTTTGCATAAACTAGCAGCACATATGCAAATATTATATGTTGATTTAGTGATGGTTGATTGAAAGCAGGTTCATTTCACAACCAGTTTATGCAGCTCCTGAGTTTGAATGTGCATTTATTGGTTAGATGTATATCCCACCTTTCCTTCAGAAGCTCAAGGGAGTGTAGAATTTTTTCCACACAACAACAACCCCAAAAGGTAGACTGAGCTAAGAGTGAGAGACTGGCCCAAAGTCATGTTGTGCTAAGCAGTTTGTGTGCTTCTGGGTGTCCCTGCAGCCAGTCCAACAACTTCACCCACACCTGTAGGAACACCAAAGTCCCCCAAGAGCTCATAGGGTCAAAACCAACAGTAACCATACTAGTCATAAACCATCATAATGATGGTGAGCAGTCATGTCCCCGAAGCACTCTGGAAGACGTTGCTGGCCTTCAGAAGATCATTCCTGGGAATGGAGGGGAATCTCTTTTCTGGAGAGAAGCTGTTCCAGAGAATCAGTGCCATGATGGAAAAACAGCCCCTTCTCACTTCACAGAACAGGGCTTCTCCACCAGCAGCTTCTTCTGGGACGACCTCCTTGGTTGGGTTGCTCTGTTTGGAGAAGCCAAAACCAGCCCCTGAAATCATGCCCTGAAGCTTTCCGGGAACCAGTGCATGGCTTGCGAAGTGGGTCTCAGGTGATCACAGGGCAGTCTTCTCAACCTTGACCACTTTAAGACGTGTAAGAGGGCTGCCTGGGGAAGTCTGGGAGTTGAAGTCCACACGTCTTAAAGTGGCCAAGGTTGAGACACACTGTCATAGGGACTTGCGCCAGCCGCAGCTTCTGAGTGGTCTTCAGAGGCAGCCCCACGGAGAGAGCGTCGCAGAAGTCACTCCAGGGATCTCCCCATGAACCTTTGGCCACCCCAGTCAGGGGGAGCTTGCTGAATGCTTCCCTTAGAGGAAGGTGCTGGGGCAACGGCTCTCTTGTTGCGGAGCTGTCCGAGGTCCTGATGGTGCCAGGCTCCATTGCAGCCCAAACCCTTTTCTCTCATCCCATAGCTGGCTACGTCGAGGTCCCCAGCCCGGCGAGTTCCCTTCCACAACCCATTTTACCTAGTTTTCCATCCATTTTCTGCCCTCACACACTATACTGAACCATAAACCGGCCCAGTGCACCGGAGTCACGTTGCAGACTCAAACAAGCCTTTTCCCCATTGCTGTGGGAACCCTCTGGAGCGTGGCACATATTATGGAGCATTAAGGAGCATGTTGGAAGCGAGAGTAACCTAGAAACTGAGCCAGAGAAGAGTGACAGCTGATCTCCTAAACTGCTGTTTATTTGCGCATTAAGGAAAGGTATAAGTCACTCTTCACGGTGAGCTTTCAGCGGTGACGTGCCAGCTAAAAGAATACTACAAACAAACATTATACGAACACCACACCAGGCAAACATCTCTGGCTGCCCCACTGAGCCCCAGGCCCTATACGGAGATTATTGAGACGGTAGATATAAAGCATGATGCTTGTTCCCAACGGTTGCGTAGTTGTGCTCATATTGCGAGCGCTGCGACCACTAGCAGCCACGGTGGTGGCAGGGCAAGTCGGCCGCCTCGACTGAAAGAACCGCTTGACGGGAAGGGTAGGGAGGTGAAAGGCGTCGCAGGGAGGCGCGTTTCCGTAGGAGAGGAGCGTCGCAGCCAGCTCTCCTCGGGCTGCGGGGCTGTCGTTGTTTTGACAAACCTCCGCGAGCCACTCTGGTGGATTGTCCATTTCCAGGAACGGCAGATTCGTCCGCTGCCAAGGCTCCCTCCCCTGCAATTGCTTGGCGTGCCACGTTGCCATCCCAGGCTGTGGATTCTGTTGAAGAGCTCGTTAAACATTAATTCACGTTGCCCTGGAAAAGGGGGAAGATCGGCAGGGGTGGAAGCGGGCAAAGGAATTGGAAGTGGGACGCTGGCCGTAATTATCGATAATGAGCTCGGGGCTGTAATTTTATTAATTAAAAAGGAAAAAGAAGAGGCAGCCTTCCCGGATTCTTGGGAGCTGCTCTCCAGCAGCCACTTGGAGGAGCTGTTAGGGACACGGAGGAGGCCTTGATCGGGATCCGGGTGGTTGTGATCTGGCTCCCCAAATGGACAGCAGGGATCAAGGAAGCAGCGAGGAGAGGCTGGGCAGGAAAAAAAGCCGTTTTGCTTCTCACAGCGATGCCAAACAGAATCAGAGTTTCAGCACAACCACGTGAAGTCCAGATCTGGACTGAAACCCCGTGGATGTGACCTGGGGTTGCTGAAATGTGCAAGAAAACCTGATGAGACTGAGTTGAGGAAGTGACCAGGGAGGAACTGGGCAAAATCCCTACGCAGCCATCTCCAAAGACAAGAACTGGGGAAGTGCTTTATGCAATTAAAGGTGGTGCAGCTGGTGGCTGGACCCAACGGAGGGATTCGTTTTCCACGTTGGTGCTTTGCCTGCCGGGTGACTTGGCAGAGGAAGGCGGCCCCAAACCCGGAAATCCGAAAGGATGCATGTGAGATCCTAAGTGCAGGGTAACCTTACACAGAAAGTCAGACGGTGGCACCTCTTGTCAGCCCTCCAAGATCACTTCGATCGGTTCCTGACTGTTTTTGTCGCTTTGGGGCGGGATCAAGGAACGCCAGGAGGTTTTCACTGCTTTAGCATCTCTCAGAGTATTTGTGAATCTACTTCTTTACGTGTAGAAATGAACCTCTGAACACAGTCACTTTCCTAACAGTACAGTGGTACCTTGGTTCACAAACTTAATTCATTCCACGATTCTGGTCGTGAACCGAATTGGTCGCCAACCGAATCAATTTTCCCATAGGTTCAATGTAAATAAGGTTAATCCATTCTGAACCATATGTATATTTTTTTTAACCACAAAAATATGAAACAAAGTACAGGCGATCTCACCTAGAGGAAGCCGCGACCACGTGTCAGAGCAGGGAAGATGGCCGCGGGTCGTGTTCGTCACCTGATGCGGAGTTCGTGAATGGAAGCAAACTTTTGCAAACGCTGCTGTTCGTGAACCGAATTGGTCGCCAACCGAATCAATTTTCCCATAGGTTCAATGTAAATAAGGTTAATCCATTCTGAACCATATGTATATTTTTTTTAACCACAAAAATATGAAACAAAGTACAGGCGATCTCACCTAGAGGAAGCCACGACCACGTGTCAGAGCAGGGAAGATGGCCGCGGGTCGTGTTCGTCACCTGATGCGGAGTTCGTGAACAGAAGCAAACT